TATATATATATATATAGATAGTATGTATGTATGTATGTATGTATGTATGTATGTATGTATATATATAGTATATATAGTATATATAGTATATATAGTATATATAGTATATATAGTATATATAGTATATATAGTATATATGTTATATATAGTATATATAGTATATATAGTATATATAGTATATATATATAGTATATGTAGTATATTTTGTATATACTATATATAGTGTCAGCACAATCAGAGCGCCTGCACGACCGAGAAGTGCGGCACGACGACCTGAGAGAGCATCGGAAAGTGGGAGTTTCCGAAAATGAGGGCTACCATCTTTAGGGGTCCTTAGACTAAGGATCCTACTATTTAGGGGTCCTTAAACTAAGGATCCTACTATTTAGGGCGCCATATTCGGGTCCCCTATTTTCGGAAACCTTTCAGGGTGCTCTTCTGCTTCCATGCCCAGCTCGTGGCTGGGTTTTGGCGCTTGCCGGCTTTGCCGGCGGGCGAAGGCTTTTGCCCAAGTTCTGGCTTCTGCTTTGGTCAGGCCCAGCCCTAGAAAGGAAACCCACTGGCCTTTCAAAACATGGGGGGTTTTTCCATTTGTGAGGGCAGCCTTCCCAACCCTTTGCATCAGCAAGGACCCAACAGGCAGCGCATGGCCGCGCGCCGGTCTAGGCACCACCTCCACTTGAAGACTTCTGCCGTGGAAAAGGGGGGGAGGCATCCTCACGAGGATTTTGCATGCATGGCATCCGCCTTGGCAAATCCAGGGTGTGTTCCCCACCCAGGCAAAGACCCCATGCGAACAACTTCTGGGGCATCGAACCGTGGGCAACCACGAACTGCGCTGGAACGTGACAAGTAACTGCATACCTCTCAAAACATCCTACACCAGGAGCCGCGGTGTTGCTTAGCTGGGTTGTAGTGGCAGTGGCCAAAGCAGGAGCTTCGGAAAACAGGCTACAAGAACCGAGCTTGCTGCCTGTAGGCTCCCAAGCCAGTCGCGCAGAGGCACAGCCTCCGCTCGAGTGATTCTGCTTCGTCCGGCAGATTCGCCGCACGGTTGAGCTGTCGGTTCAGCAACATGTCTATCTGCTTCGCTTGCGACGCACCCTTTTGCTTGCAAGAACAGACGCCCGGAGATGTCGCGGCCGGGGGTTCCCTCTAACCGGAAGGCCGGGCAGCCTGCGGCACCCTCTCTCAAACACACGAATCGAACCGGTCAAGGGGCTAGACACCCCACTTGTTTCCGCCTGGTGGCGCCTTCCCTGTTTCTGCATCCAACCAAGATTCCAAAGCTGTCTTTCGCCGTCCCAGATCGCTTCTGGCTGCCATCTCGGATCTGACTGCTCTGGACTCCTCGTCGTCTGGGTCTTCTGCTTCGAGACAAAAGCGTCGCCACAGTTTTGCCTTCTCAGGATCACTCATGAAACTCCTAATCTGAATAACACGCTGTCTACGCTCTTCCTGCTGCTCTTTGTCGCTCTTGACCAAGCCATAAAGATTGGAGTCCATGAAGCCACCAAACTCCATTTCATCGTCCTCGAAGTCACTCGCCACTTTGGGAAGCCTTGCTTCAAGCGCGAATGCTGACAAGCGATCTGCAGAGTGATGCTCAGGGTTCAGAACGAACTGCTCCAGCACATCTTCTGGCATGTCCGAGGTGGACTTGTAGCCTGTCTCTTTGCAGAACGCTTTCCACGACTTCTCAGCTTCATCTGCTTTTCGAAGGCGTTTCAGGAGCTTCAAGTGGCTGTAGCTTCCCGTTTTCACGGTTTCCCCCTTGACAGTGGACACGGGCTCCTTTTGGGCAAAAAAGTCGAAGAAGCAAAGGCCACAAGCCAAGTGTAAGAGCAAGCAGAGCCACCATCGTGAAGCAATCCGAGTGCGTGGAACGGGCATCATGCAAGCTCTGGTACAAAATGTAAATATAGATATAAATATAAATATAAATATAAATATAAATATAAATATACATAATTAAATAAACAAAAACACACACACACACACGCATATATATATATATCTATCTATCTATCTATCTATCTATCTATCTATCATCGATACTCGTAGGCATCGCACTCTCGTGAATCATGCTTGGTGTTTGACGCGAGAACTTGGACCTGCTTCGAACCGAAATGCAAGAGGTCGGGAGCTGAAAGGTACCTCTGTACAGCTCTATCAATCTATCTATATAGAGATAGGTGCATACCATACATACATGCATATACATATATATATATAGTTATATATATATATATACCATATATATATATATACACATGCAGACATGCATACATACATGCATACATACATACATACATACATACATACATAGAAATTACGTATTTCTATACATACATATATACTACATATATATATATACATACATACATACATACATACATACATACATACATACATACATAGAGAGAGAGAGAGAGAGAGAGAGACACTATGTATTGTACCTCTTTCAACATGCGCAACTTCTCTGCCCTACTGCATTTGGAGCAGAGCGGGCCTCGAAAAGCCTTACCGAATCCACTAGGAAGAGGAGACCTCGGCATGCGGACGCTCCGACGAGACTGCAAGAGCATGCAGCGGTTGGTGCAGTTCAGGGGCCTCAATAAGAATGGGGGTTTGGGGCATAAGATTAGAAATTAAGGAGCCCCGAGGAATCAGATTGAGAAGTACTTGGGCTTTACATTCTCATCTTCTTCCGGAAGGCATGGGTTCCATGGCTCTTCCTCCGCAGAGAAACGGGGAAACAACAGCTCTCCTCGACAAAATGGCCCTAACCAGCAGCGAACGATTTCAAGGAAGCCCCCAACACTTGCCACAATGACCTTTAGGGTTTCCAAAAATAGGGGACCCTAATATAGTACCCCAAATAGTGGGCTCCTTATTATAAGGAGCCCAAAATAAGGTACCCTAAGTGTCGGAAACTCCCACCTTTCAGTCATGCCTCATGATCAACGAACCACTTGGGACTTTCCGAATTTTTGGGTCCTTATAATAAGGATCCTACTATTAAGGGTACTGTATTAGGGTCCCCTATTTTCGACACCCCCACTTTCCAGCCGGAGAATTTGAGGCCGGCACATAGGGCAGCTGCTTTCCACGGCTGTTCCATGCACGCACCTTCCTACAGGCTTCCTAGGGGCCATACGCTTGCGAGGTCGGTGCTTCGTCGTTTTAAGAGCCTTCGGCTTTTTTCAGACCTTCGGGTTCGACGGATGTGGGGTGCAGCTGTGCAGCTGTGGCTGTTTTGGGGTGTGCATTTCGGATTTGCCTGAACCTATCTGCTCAATAATGGCTGTGCCGGCAGCGCCCGACCAGCGTCACAGAGGTGTCGTGGAGCGACTTCTTCGCCCGCTCAAATTCCGAAGTACTGCGCTCAGCTGCTCCCATGTCTTTCAGCCCACTCTGACGCTCACTATCCAGCCGTCGAAAAGGCCAGGCACGGCAGAGCTGCGAGTCTCCGCAGGCAGCGCCAGCCCTTTACGGCGGTCTTGTCGCCTCCTCCCTTAACGACTGTACAAAGTTTCGACCTTCTCGGTCAGGAAGCGAACACTCTGAATTGGCATTGCTCGGTCGAGCGAAAACACATTATGTTACAATCTGGTCAGTAGGTGTGAGCCATTCCTTTCTTGGACAGAGCCTGGGAGAATTCACAGCTCCCTTCGATTAAAGATCAGCTTCGAGGTCGGCACGCGTCGACTGTCAAGTTCGCACACAGGACGTCCATGCATTGAGAGCTGCTGCCCTGGTCGAAACGACCAGGATTCCGTGCTACTGTCACATCTCCATCTTTCACTGGAAGCCTTGACCCCTGGCTGAAGGCTCCAACCACCTGGAACAGCAAAAACTCACAGCACAACACTCGAGGCCTAGCTTTAATGCATGGTAGCAGCCGTCAAAAGTAAGGATGTCGAAGGGCAAAGTCCAGCCATCAACCTCGAAGCATGGACTGCCAACTGCGAAGCTTGCCTGCCAGCATGGCTGAGCGAGATGCCGCACTGCCATCCCACCAGTCTTGGTACGTGGACCTCAAAGCAAGCGTGCATATGGCTGAGTACTTCTTGGGTGAAGGCCCGCTAAGGTTTGGACGACCTGACAGCATGCGATGTTCAGGGCTCAAGGGATGCGGGATCGAAGCAGGGTGGCCAATATCAAGCACAATCTTGGCATCCTGCACTCCTTGGCCAGTACTCGCACAGTCTTTCGGCCGTTCTGCTTGGAAAGCACAACCGAAGGACGCTTCAAACCTCACACACTGGATGGCACGGGTGCAATCACTATTGCACGTGCACACATGGGCTGCTTCACAGATGTTGCATGTTAATAGTCGCATTGGCATGGAGACCCGTGCGTATGTGTCTGCTTCATACAAGAACAGGAACTCTTGCATCAAGGAAGCAGAAACGTGAGCAAATGCAAAGCCAGAAGATAGGCTTAGGGCCCTGATGAATCTAACAATACTGTCGAACATTTCAGGTTCGGGCTTTGTGTCCACAGGCGGGCTGCAGCCTCGGTGATTGCAAGATGCAGTAGCACCCAGGAAGGAGACACATGCTCTGCCGCACTGTTAGTTGCCATGCTTGGGTGCCTGCCTTGCGGTGGACAGGGCGGCACGCTCTGAACCTCAAGCAGCGGTGCAGCCGTGCCTTTGATTGCTTTTGCCGCTCGCTGTCAATCTTACCTGCTTAGCTGCCCCAGAGAGGGTGGGCCCACGCGTTTCAATCACAGCTTCCATCGTCGCCGATCGCTTGCGAACTCATCTGCTGCCGCGGCTGTTTCAGAAGAGCCTACTCTTGGCCTGAGAGCCCTCAGGCTCATATGAGGCAACCACAGCGCAATTGGCTCCATCTTCGTCGCACCCAACCTACCACGCCACTGGATCGATTTCACACCGAGCCAAGCTTGCGTGTGAAAAAAAAACCCTCAACGCGGGGCCTTGGGCAAGAACCGGGTAGAAGGCAGTCCTCTTCGCGGAATGGAGTACACATACGACCTAGGAACCCGAGGAGCGCCCACACGTCTCCTCGTCAAGACATGCCAAAATCCGAGGTTCCTGCTCCCCGGGGCCGATCTTCACGATGTCTGCATCATAGGGCATCTTGGTGCCTACGTCGGCACAGAATCAGAAGGGTCCGAGAACTCAAAAGCAAGCGTCTGAGATGCCGTCCGGTCGACTGCACCCAGATGGTCCTGGGACCTTTGCAAGACATGTGTTGCAGCACCCTGCCGTGTCCCTGTGTCTTCTTCTTCCTGCTCGCCCTTCTCGTAACATTCGCACAAAGGAGATGCCCGAAGAGAATGCCAATTATTTTTATTATTTAATGTTATTATGAATATTGGTATTATTTAATGTTATTACGATTCTTATAATCCACATCTTGAGCTGGCACGGCCGAACCGCAGAGGAGTGCCGGACGAGCAAATCTGCAGCCACCACCAGCATGCCGGAGAGCGAAAAGGCGGGAACTCTAAGACGCAAAGGCTCTAAGCACCGTGGTGAAAGCAGGATAGCCGAAGGCGACGCCTGTTTCGGAAGCTGCTGAGCAGTCGAATGCTAGCCCTGCAGATCCCAGAGTGGTCGGGCAGAATGCTGCGGCTAAACAGCATCAGTGAAGTGGCTTCCTCATCCTTCAGTACACTCGGCAGGTTAGTGTCGTCTGATGGTGCTCCGTTTTCTTGCATGCTCAGGTGAACCGGCCTTTCTGAAGTCCCGTTATCATCCTCGAGTATTTTGAAGAAGTTTCCGTACACATTTTCGCCATACTGTTCCTGCTCGACATCAACTTCTGCTTTGAGTGTCTGTCTCCAATTCTCCGATGCTGGCAAAGGCTGGCACATGCGTCTGCTAGCCTTCCAGACTCTGCAGACCACTCCCGCCCACCCACATTTTTCCCCTCAGGGCCAAATCAGCCTGAAAAAGCTATGTTCAAGAGAAAGCAAAGCCTAAACCCTAAACCCGTGAACCCTAAACCCTAAGCCAACCCTAAGCCCGAAACAATCGACCGAACAAACCCACTGTTGCACTTGGTCGCTTGCAGTGGTTCGTAATGCGAAATCGCTTCTGGCCTGAGCTTTTTTGACAGCCAAGCACGCAGATCATGGAACATTGGCAATTCTGTATGTATGTATGTATGTATGTATGTATGTATGTATGTGTATGTATGCATGTATGTGTATGTATGTGTATATATATATATACATATATATTTATTTATTTATTTATCTATTTATTTACTTAGATTCATGTTTATATTCATAACTATATTGATATTGATATTGATTTTTGTATTTATATTCATATTTATATTTATATATTGATATTTATATCTATATTTATATTAATATCTATATATAAATTTATACAAATGTGCACATACACTCTCATCTATACAGAAGACAGACATGACCGGTTTCGCTAGAGCGCCTTGAGCGTGACACACAGAGACTGCTGGCAAAGCCGCCGGCTGCCATGTAATCCTGACGTTGCCGTCCTGAGCCGTTGACGGTCTAGGGACCCTAGGGTGACCCCCATGAAGATCCTTTGCAAAGTGCGGCTGGCGGCCTGCAGCCTGCAGTGTTTCTCATGAGTTGCACAGATTGGTCTGAAGCTCGACTCCCAAAAGTCTGCATCTACGTGCTCTGAGATGCCTTGACATCTCCAACTTTGGAGCAGGACAGCTAGAGTCTGGTCGGCGAGAGTCGGCTAAGAGAAAATGAGCGTTCAGCGCTACAGCGCTCCATCATCCTCATCCTCGTCTTCATCCTCGCTCTTCTTCTTCTGCTTTTCCGGCTCTGGAAGAGTGGCTTTCTTGACGGCAGAGCCCGTTGGCTTGGCATCGCTCTTTGCATCCAAGGAGTCCAGGACGGCAGAGATCAGCAGCGCTCCTCCCACCGCACCACCGACTGGCACCGCCACATCTGCGACAGCGCTGAGGCGTCCTGCAGAGCACTGCAACGCTTTGCTGACGTGCCAATTGCGAGATCTGGAAATAGAACTCCTGAGAAATTCTGCACACACTTGCAGACTCAGTCCTGCAAGGCTGGTGCTCATATCACTCAGCTGGAGAACCTCCTCGTCAGCCAAGGAGAAATCGAAGATCTGCAAGTCTTCCTTCAAGTGGTCCTCTTCGAAGGCAGAAGGGCACATCTCACGGTTTGCTTTCGTTCGTCTTTCTCTTGCGAAGAAGCGGCCTTGTTCTTGGACTGCGTCGTAAAGGTGGCTCCCGTTTGCAGGATCCACCGCCTAGAAAGTTTAGAGAGTTTAGGGCTTCGGGTTCAGGGTTTAGGAAAGCTGCTGTAGCCAACAAATGATGGAGCATCTCGCGTGAGATAAGTAGCACTACAGCCAGAAGAAACAAGTTGCTAAAATCGCCCTAGAATCTAATTAGAACCCTCAGGAGTGCTTCAGACCCTGGATGATATCTCTTGCCTCTTTAACCTCTAAGCCCTGCACAACACTGACAGTTTGTCCGAAGGGGCAGTGCTACTTGCGCGGCGGACTTGCCGTACTTCTGACCGATCTCCTCGGCCAACTTCCTTAGGAAGGAAGGGTGGAACTAGAAAGGTTGGCTACAACTGTTGCTTTAAGGGTTACTGGAAGGGCTTATGATACGGGTGCCTCTTAGACGAGGGTTTTGGGTGATATGTCTTTCTGCTGCGCTTGCTTCTCAAACCGTAGGGTTTCGGCGCTCACACTCGGACTCTCAAGGCGAGGCATGTGTCCTGTGATGGGTGAAAGAAGAAGCTAGCGTCGGGCGGAGGTTTTTGCACTGGGTTAATAGATCGTGCACTGAAGAAGAAAGCTGAAATTCGGGTGCCGAAGGGCCTAGAAACTCCATAGGCTCTTGAACCTGAGTAAGCTTTTTGCATCAGGACCTCTGCAATGACTTTCAAGCCCTGGGCCTTGTTTTGAGCCCAAACCCTTGCTGTCCGGTGTCGCCCCAAAACCCGAATCCCTAAACCCGCAAGCCCCCAGCTTTCTCTGAAGCCTAGAACCGAAGCCCCGAGAACTCTCTCGCTCCCAGGCATTCAAGCCCGATTGAAGGGCTGCATTTGCGGCCGTGCGTGAAACAAATGATCAGAACGACCAGCTGTTGCCTTCCTTCCAACCCACAGTGTAGGAAGCATGTGAGCTCAAAGCCCAAGAATGCCGTGAGCCACTGATGCATCGACTGTCTCAGCAAAGTAGACTGTGTGCTGCTGTCGGGCTAGCAAGTCACACACTGTCTGGGACCAAACAGCAGGAGACTTCGCGCAAGTGAGCTGAACAACAAAGGGACGAGGGCGACCAGTAAGCTGAAGCCAATCAGACCATTGCAGCGCCGCTGCAGCGTTGATGATATCAAACGAAAGCCCCAAGCCCCTTTGCAACTGGCCTGCTGAGACTCCGCTAGAACGAACGCTTGACCAGATCACTTGGTGAGTAAGCAACTCGTGTGCTCAGGCCAAGCATCCGGAATGATTTCACATGAAAACTGCACAGTTTGCCGCAAGCCCTGAAGCCCTAAACCTCGAGCCCTGAACCCTAAAACCTAAACCCCAAGCCTAACAACCCTCCTGTTTACACCTAGGCGGTGCATATGCCAGGAACCGAGGCGCCGGCGTAAAAGACCCTAAACCTCTACCTTCAGCCGGAAACCCTGAAGCCCTGAACTCCAAGCCAAAAAAAAAAACGAAAGCCCTCAACTCCGGAAACTCCCCTAAACCATAAAACCCTAAAGCCCTGAAGCCCTAAGAACCCCAAACCCAGAACCCTAAAACCCTAAATCCTAAATAAAAGGCGGCCAGGCTCGAAGCACCGATGCCCAAGCTCCCGGAGCCCAGCGGACCCCAGGCCTGGACCACGATGCCGCCTAGGACGCTGCTTTGGTTTGGGGTTTAGGGTTTAGGGTTTGGGGTTTGGGGTTTAGGATTTTTTTTGGGGGGGTCTAGGGTTTGGGGTTTGGGGTTTAGGATTAAGGTTTTTTCCCTCTCACTTAGCCAGGACGAGCCCGCATTGCAGGACTTTCGGATTAGGGCTTGGGGTTCGGGTTTGGTGTTTAGGTTGGGGTTTAGGATTTAAAGTTTAGGGATTCATGCGGCTTAGGGTTTAGGGTAAACCCTAATGTGCGGACGTATTCAATGCCATGGGCCTAATTCATGCGTTTTTTCGGGCTAATTCAAGCCGGGACCCAAAAAATGACCGGTCTAATTAGTGCATTTTTTTTGGCCTGGATTTTTTGGGGCTCGTCTTTTTATCCTTCTAGTAATGGTTAATCTTAAAGCAGCCACGATGCAAACCCCCCATCCCTGACAGCCTGGACCTGAATCCCGAAACTCTCCCTAAAGGCTAAAACAACCCTTAAGCCTCAACCCTAAATCCCCCTTGAGCCTCATCTCAACATCTCCGTATGAAGCCTGAACCCTCCTAACATCTTCTAACTTAGTCAAAGCCCTAATCTACCGAACCTTGGTCCAGGGGTCACGGTCACATATTATTCCAGCCGCGAGGTTTTGGCCGGGGGGGGTCCACTATTTAGGCCTCCACAGAAAACCCTAAGCATCCCTAAAACGTGCACGTTTTGCGGCCATTCCCCACGGTATCGCGTGCACCTGGGTGGCACGCGGCGAGCATCATGAGCACGCGGCGTGCGCGCGGCGGCCCATCAGGCGCAGGCAGGCGCAGGCAGGTGCAGGCCGATGTTTTCGGAGGTGGGGAGGAGTACCGGAAGGCCTCAAATTGGTGCCCCCGCGCGTGCAATGATGCTGATGATGCTCACTGGNNGCGCGCCCTTCCCTGCCCCCCGCCCAATGAATGAGTGAATGAATGATGTTTGAATGAACGAATGAATGAATGAATGAATGAATGAATGAATGATTGAGCGATTGAATGATTGATTGATTGATTGGATGATTGATGGATTGATTGATTGATTGATTGAATGAATGAATGAATGAATGAATGAATGAATGAATGAACGAATGAATGAATGAATGAATGGATGAACGAGTGAACGAGTGAACGAATGAACGAAGAAATGAATGAATGAATTAAGGAATGCATGAATGAATGAATTGCCTGCGTCACCGACTCTGAGCGCAGCCCCTTAAATAAACCCTAAACCCTAAATAAACCCTAAAGGGGGTTGAAGGTTTTTGGATTTTGGGCTTTTGAGGTTTTCCGCTCTCGCAGCTCGAACTCTGCCAGACGAGGTCTCTCGATTCGCAGCCCGTAGTGTTTTGAGGTTGTAGGGTTTAGGGTTTAGGATTGTGTAGGGTTCCTTTTTCAGCCGTTTTGTGTTGCTTCCTGCATTGCTGAAGGAGTCGCCAAGCGGGGTATGTGAGATGTCTCAGGATGCAGGGTCTTTGCCTCCGACTTAAAAAAAGTGTAGGGTTGAGGCTCGTTGCTCTCCGCAGCCGTAGTCTCCGCATGCACCTAATTAAAACCCCCGGATGGACGCCATCCGCTGGGTGCCCTGATTTCTTTGGAAGCAGGTTACACCTCGACTCGGTCCAGCTGGCCCCTCCGTAGTGGCCTATTTCTGGTCAGGAGGAGTCTTCCATCCCTAAAACTGGCCATGCAGACAAGGGCCCCAATGTTTCAATCACCACTTCCGAGGTTGGCTACGACCAAGGGCGAGCCCGGGGCCCCACAAGGAAATGGACCCACGCTGAATCCACGGTGGGCCAAGGACCGAGTGCGGACTCTACTTTTGGCAGCGGGAACTTCCTGTGCGGCTGTGGCCTACTTGAAACGGCGATGGCTCAGCAGCAAGCCGAGGTCTTGGAGTGGAAGTCTGTGTTGGCGGCGCCCTTTCAGATCAAAGGAACATATCCAGACGAAGCCTTTGGATGCTTTGGGTCCTAGGAGGAGAGAGCTGGCTTTGGAGTCGAGATGGTCAGAAGGGCACTACGCGGGCTTGAGCAGCCTGCTTCACAAGGGTCGCGTCGTCTGCATCGTCTACATTCTTTCCTCCGGCAACCAAGCCGAGAAATTCCTACATAGTTACTGGACATGTACGACCGGGACCAATAGATCCTGGACTACCTGAGGAGGAATTGATGATAGACGAGAAGCCCAGGAAAAGAATGCGAATGAAACCAGCCTTTGGAGAGTGTCAAGCTGAGGAAAGTCATCCTGACGGAGGATGAGCTGGTCACGATGGCTACAACAGCAGCGGCACAACTCCCTGAAGCCTGGGACCATGATGACGCTCGGGAACTTGTGGTTGAAATGGCTGAACGGAACTTCTTAGAGGACTTGAAGCCGTTTCTTTCGCCATGGAGGAACGGTGGGATGGATGACAGGCTTCGAGCAATACCCTGATCTTTCTCGACTACTAGCACGATTGGTGTTGGAGCTGGAGCCTACAGCAACCTTTACATCAACAGTCGTCCCCCACAATTCGCGACGACCCCTGCACCAGGACTTGAACAATGATGAGTGGACCTACAACCATATGATCCCCCTCCATTGTCCAGCTGAAGGAGGTGAGCTATGGACGGAGCTAAGACCAGGTGAGCAAGTATGTGGGCCGATTTCCATGCGTGCAGGCGGTGGGGAAAAGCAGGTGTTTGGCCAGGAACATCCTTTACGAGTTGGAGGGTGTGTTCGCTTCCATCCGCGACGGCTGCCACGAGGTCATGGGGCGGAAGGGCCATCGCACCATGCTGACCGCATACATGAGAAAGCTGACCTACCGGGACAAAACAGCTCTCGGATGCTCATGGTTTTCCTCCACCACTGTCTCAACTACCAAAGGCTTTTGGAGGAAGGGCCACAAGCCTACATGGCCCACATGGAACTTGATGAACAACAACCTCATCCTCCCCCAGACTTACATGAAGATCATCTGCCAAAGGAGATGATGGAGCTCGAGGAGGACTGGGATGTTCACTCCGAAGTGGATGGTGGCGATGTAAAGCTGGGAGGAGAATTTGGCCTCTCAATGGATGATGAGGATGTTCGGGTGGCAAAAAGCCGAGGTCGCCGTTAGAGGAGCAAATCTTGCAAGGCTTGAAAGCCGCCTTGGAGGCGACCTACACTGAGGACCCTCGAGAAGTTCTTCTATTCTACCCCTACATCTATGGGAACACGCGATTCGCAAGGAGGTCAACTGCGTAAAGAGGTGGCGATTTAGCGACTCTTACCTGATACTCCGGAGCGAGTGTCCTGGTTGTCGGAGGAAGGAGTTCAGCGACTTGCAACAAAGTTTGTGCTTACCGTGAAGCCACAGCTCAATCAGATCCCACAACATGGTGGTAGAGGAAGGCGAGATTGGTTGTGTGTGGAAATTACGCACAAGATGATGGAAGCAACCTCTATGCCGAGTCAGCTCCTGCAGAACCTGTTCGTGCAGGCCTAAGCCCTCACATGTAGAAAGGGCTGGGAGGTTGGAATCGTCGATGTCGTCGCTGCCTTCCTCAAGACTCCGGTGGGAAGAAAGGCTTTTGCCCAGCCGAAAGTACTTGAGCGACTCGGAATCACTGTGGCTCTGGAGTTGTGGGGCCTGGTAAAGGCTTTGCATGGACGTCGTCAAAGTCCATCTTTTAGCGACTACCGAGATGACGTCTTCGCTCAGCTACAACTACCAGATGGCATCCGGCTTTGTCAAGGTCGCACAGTGAGATGTTGGTGTGGTGGTGCATTTCAATTCGACCGGGGAGGTCATCGGAGTGCTGATTGTGTATGTGGACGATTTCATGCTATGTGGAGGCGTTGTCTGGCACAATCCGGAAGCTGTGGGAAACTTCGGTACTATCAGTTCTTTCTCCAAGCAACCCCATACGGTTTCTGGGGATGGAGCTCAGTATGATGTCTGACGAGGTGAACGTCGTATATGTGAGCCAGCATGGATATATCGAGGAACTGCTACGACGTCATGATCTTCCAGGTTGGATGAGATTCCAGCGTCTAAGGAGTTGGCATCATTCACCGTGGAAGCCATCGACATCCCAGCAGACGACTACATGGTGCATCAAGCACAGCAGGTCACAGTCGAGAATGTACGTGTTTCTCAACGAAGCCGACCGGACCTCAGCTACACCTCGCCTTTGATTTCTACGCTGAGTATGCGGGCGCCCTACAGAGTGGCAGAGATAGGAATGAAGGCCCTGGCCTACTTGAGGAGGACATCGAGGTGTCAGTTGCGAGTAGTTCTGTGATGCCGCCTATGCCCCGCAATCCGAGAGATCTGATGGAGGTTGGATGGTAGCCTACGGCCAAGTTCCTTTGGTATGGAGAAGAGCAGCCGGCAGCAGGTGATTACGTTGTCGACAGGCAGAGTCGGAGTTGCCGGCTATGACAGATGGGCCATCGCGCTGAGGGTGTGGAGTGCCTGTTGGCGGATTCGTTTGGGAATTTCCCAAGGGGCATCCTCGTGCAGGACAAGACATCTACGTATACGGGCAGGATGGTTGGTGGGAGCAGATTCAACATGGTTGGATGTCGACACGCGATTGCCCAGGTGAGCAACAGCCAGCAGACTTGTTGACAAAACCCTTGACCTCCCAACGACCGTGGCATATTAAGGAACCCGAGCCGTCCCCCCAACACCCGCAAGCAGTCTCGTTTGTCCTTGGCCTCGTCAAAGATTACAGAAGCACTGGTGTGTAGTTTGTTGATGATGACAGTGGAGGCGTCCTCATTGCCTTCGGATTCTGCCAGTGGCATCAAGATTGACGGGGATATGTTGACCATCTTTATGACCTTGGTGATGGTCGTGGGCCTGGTGATGATCTGGGAAGGTTGTACGTGGTTGTTCTGGGAGTTAGTGATGGAATGAACTCCAGGCGCCCGATCCCGCAAGCTGAGGCGTCTTGAGAAGCTGCAGGATGCAACAACCCGAGCTATCCAGGAGGAGATGAACTACTATGCAGCGACCATCGACTACAAGGACGAATTCATCAATGACCCTGCGGTCGGCTACCATGACGGAGAGTTCGTCTACGGCACCGCGGTCGGCTACCATGATGGAAGGTTCGTCCAACGGCACCACAGCAGGCACCTACGATGGCAAGTTTGTCTGCCTTGCAGCCTACTTCAGAAAGAGAGCAGCTCCTGAGGAGGAGAGTTCCTGCGCCGTCTACACCTCCAAGGCCTACAAGAGTGACTCAAGAGTCAGCAGGCGAATGGAGTGTGACCAAGAATGATGATGACCACGAAGAAGATCAAGATGCTTATCTTCGCCTATGTTTGGACACGGCGATGCTGATGAGATGTGAAGAACTTCGAGAAGCTCTTCGACTTCGAGGCCTGGGAACTGCAGGATTGAAGAACGACGTGGTGACCAGGCCGGGACCAGATATGTGGTGTCAAAGGAGGCACCGACACAGAGGCAGTATAAATACATCCTTTCGCTTTGAAGGAGCCGTGATCTGTGTGGTAAGGTCCTCCTGTCACACTCCAGTTGGGAGTCAAGAACGGCTGCATCAGGAACAATTCACTCCTGGAAGTCTCGATAGCCCCGGCAAAATGCGAAAAACCCTTGCGAGTTGTTCGAGGAGGAGTGCTGAAGCCTATCACCTGGAGCGAGTGTGCAGTGTGAAGCTGATGCGGTCGCGCCGTTTGATCTTAAGGAAATGGCTACGAAAGGTCCCTTGAGCAGACCCTTGAGAATGCTAGAGTGTGACCTTACGTAAAGCGAAAGGAATCACTCCTGCATGAGCGTTGAAAGTAGATGCAACTTGTACAACCAGCATCGGACCCATCGTTCGTTAGTCTTCAGACATACTGATCTGTCTTGCGTTTGTTGCATAAACAGATTCAATTCTAAGCTGTGGCGCCATGGGGATACAATGCAAATTAATCTGCCCTGGGGACAGCAGTGTTCTCCTGGAGGGTTAACACATGAGCTCGGAAGCTCAGCAGCTTCAGGGTGTAGGTAGGTGTCTGGGGCCTTTGTTGGCTCCCGCATCGCAAGCCACAAGTAAGTACGGCAGGTATCGATATCAGCTATCAGGAAGGAGGTGCTGTATTCCAGTTCACACTTATATGAGAGAACAGTTTAGGGCTTCGGCGCTCTCAACTCGGACAATCCTGCGAGGCTTGTGTCCGATAGCTCGGCTCAGTGAAACCAACATGGGACCTTTGGCTAGTGTGTGTCAAGGCCATGGTATAGGGTCCAGGGTTTAGGGGCAGGGTATGTTTCTGGCAGCAGGACCCAACGTTCCAGTCAGGTCGCGTCTGCCGTTCTCACGCACTGCTTTGTCGTCGTAGCTCTTCAACGAGTAGGGGAGCTGATTGAGAACCGGTGGAGTTGCATCCTCAGCTATATTCCATATAACGGTGTTTTGAATGCATTTCTGTATGAATGTGCTACCATACGAAACAACACCCGTGTATGTATACATAGTGCATGCATGCATGCATGCATGCAGGCATACATACATACATACATACATACATACGTACATTCATTCCATGCATACATGCATAGATACTTACATGCTTGCATCATCACATAAATACATACATACATGCATGCCTGCATGCATGCATGCATACATACATGCATACATACAATCATTTCATACATACATGCATAGATACTTACATGCTTACATAATCACATACATACATACATACATACATACATACGTACATACATACATACATGCATAAAGACCATGTGAATACAGATCGTCTATTTACTTATTATGTACTTTAGTCATGTAACTGTTTACTTATCTATTTGTTTGTTTGTGTATATCTGGCCATATGCTTAACTATTTTGCATACATTAATTTATCCATTTGTTTGTTTATGTATTTATCTATGCATTTATTTATCTACCTACTTGCCCATCTATTTGTCTGTTCATGTAATTACATCTATAAACAACTGGATGTATGTATGCATGTATGTATGTATGTACGTATGTATGTATGTATTCATTTCTATATATATATATACACACATACAACTGCACACACACACACACACACATATATATATATTTACATGTGTACATATATATATATATGTACATATACATGCTTAATTGTCGGTCCGCTCTGTGTATCTGCTCACTGTTTTGTTTACCACATTCTCCACATATGTACACTCTATATATATATGTGTGTGTGTATGTATGTATGTATGTATGTATGTATGTATGTATGTATGTATGTATATACAAACGTGAACGAACTTGTTAATCAATTTGCTTACTTCAATACACTGTTTAATCTGATTATTCAAGTTTGCAGCTACTTACTTACGTATATAATTTCTGAACTCATTTGTCTGCGCCTGTTTTTGCTACATGTTCGTATTCATTTATATAGATTACAAATTACAACGCGACGCAAATGGCCGAGTGCTCCATCAGCTCTCGAAACCTCGCTCCGAGGCGAGACACGGGGTCCGCGAAGATGCAGTCCAACTGCTCCGGCGAGAAGTTGCTGACGGCCAGGCTCTTGGTCTGGCCAGCTGCCAGCATCTCCTGTTGGAAAAAGGCCGATGTGAGGAAAGTTTAAGGCGTCTCGGAATCTTCCACCTCGAAAGCCTTCCATTGCCCCCGGATGGTTTCACAGTCTTTGGCTGGATAGTCCAACCTGCTCGGATGTGGTGGGAAACACAGTGTGCGCAAAAGGAAGATCTGGACCATGTCGCTGGAGATGTGATGGGTCAGAAAAACTAGTAACTGGTGGCAGTAAGGTGCGAACCCTGTACAGCGAGGTAGAAGCACAAAATGCTGACCAGTCGCATGATCATGTCCAACTCTGTTATGCCACCTTCACAGGAAAAAGTCCACAATGTCACTGTGTCGCGGTGTTGACACCCCTATCTGCACTTAAGCTCACTTAGGTCCTTGTGTCGCTTCCTTCCGGGCCGGCTGACAGCAGCGGGTCAACATGCAAGAGGCAACGGGAAGACAAGACCGAGCTTTGACAACTTGCCTTCGGCAAAGGCTTCCAAGTTCTTCGCGCAGCCTTTCTTCGTGGTCAGATACCTCGAGTCAAGTCCCACTGCCCTGTTGAAGACCAAGACGTGCGCATTTACCCATTACACTTCCACAACAAAAGCCGAGCAGCGCATCTTCAAAATCCTCCCAGCTGAGACTGTGGGCAGAGTGAAAGAAACACAAAACGAGAGCAGTGCTTTCCTCCCGGCCTGCACGAGATTGCTCACCACCGATCCACAGATGAAGAGCTCTTCCCGTGGAACGCCCGACTTCTGCACCCCACGCGCAAAGCCTTTCTGGTTACCCGCGAGAACCTCAGAATTTGACGCCCCAGAGGAGGCATGGTGACGAGGGCGCGAAACTTGAGGCGCAAGCGGAAGCAAAGAAGTTTCGATAGCCGACTTCGATAGCCATTTGTGTCAGCCGCTCTGCTGTGTCGTCGCCGTAAACCTGCCTGCATGACCCCCGAAACTTCACACGCGCACGTCATCTCTGATTCCGGCCACTGTCTGTGCCAAGATGCAAGCCGAAGGAAGCCTGGAGCAAACGAGTATAAGCCGGACCATAAACCATGGGAATCAAAAAATGCACACAGGCATTCCAAGCCTTCGGAAACTGCAGTCCTCCTTTCAGCGTGATGCGCTCACCACCGACCGCCGTTTTCGATGAGGAAACCTCATAGCTTGCAGAAGGAGGAGCAGGCGGCATGATTAAGAACGTCGAAAACTCTGGTTTTCTCACCTCTTCCGCCCTTGCTGCCAGGGGTAGTAGTGCAGTCGCCGTAACGGCCTCCTTCAGATTGCAAACATATACAAACCCCAAGTCTCGGACCCGCATGCATGTCGTAGCAACGTGCTGAGATGCCCACTCTTCGACCTGCAGGTATCCGTCGGTGTCAGATGCAAGCAGCAGTTCTGCATGTGCGTTGAGTGGCTTGGGCCTTGTGCACCCTTTCCGGGTGGCAAGGGGGCATTCTGCACATAGCACCAGCGTGCTGCGGCTCCGTAGATCATGTAGCTCATCAGCACACATCCTGCGACCCTCCTGCAAGCATGCTATGGGGGATCTTCGATGCTGACGTGCAGCCCTTTCCTTGAGAAGGGCCCATTCAAGAGCCAGAGCGCTCCAGATAGAGTTGCACAACGAGGCATTGAGAGACAGAGACAGAAAGACGGAAAGAGAGAATCAAAGCCACAGGAAAGAAAATGAGAACAGAAGAGTTGAAGACAGAGAAAGAGACAAGCCTAGGGCGAGCCGCGAGAGGAAGCTTCGAAGGTGAGCCGCGCCTGTGCAGCCGCTGCCTGCGGAACAGTGCCAGCCCCGGCCGTTCAGGCATGCTCACAGGATAGGACATCGAGCTTGGGCCTTGTCCAGACTTTCTATCTTTGTGAACAGGTATCCATGTTTCGGGTTCGTAGATCAGGAACTAGCCGCTTCAGGCGGAAAATTGATCAGATGACTGTATGAAACAAAGCAACTCCTCGCGTTTGTGCACACATGTGTGAGCCAAATTGCTTCAAGGGCTTCAAACTAAGGCATCGACGCGAGATCTGAAACAGCATCACCATAAACACATGTAACACGGTAGTACTAACTGAGAATGCAGCCACCGAATCGAAGTTACGGCCTGCGCCGGACCTGGAATCTGCCCCAGGAAAATGCAAGGGATCGGCCCCAGCAGCCGTCGCTTCGACCAGACTGAAGCCAAGCAACAAAGGATCCACTCGTAGAGTGTCATCGGCGGACACTGCTTCAGCCCTGCATGGAAGGGGAAATGCTAATCGGTGTCCACTGTTCGAAATCAGTCAAACAGTCAGTCCTACACCGTCATCGTACGCGTAACCTGGCTGATTTCTCAATCCAAAGAACTACGCAGCCGAATGAATGCAGCAGAGCTTGCACTCAGATTCTGCCAGCTGCGCTAATCCGAAAACCAATGGTAGCGTTTCTGTCAAACTCAAGAACCAAGCTTGTGGTTCACCAAAAAAGGGTTCCCGAAGCATGACCTATGTCACTGGGGCCGCACCTTCCTGCGCTGCTGTGGCTCAGGGCGAATGCAGGAGATTTTACACAATCCTTCCCCCTCAACTGCCCTTCGTCAAAACAAGTGACGCTTTCGTCTTCTCTGCTGATGCACGACGATCAAACAAGCCGGCCAACCGTAGGTGCCCTTGCCATCTTGCGTGGCACACCCCTTGTGAACCGCAGCAACATACCTGCTGGTCACGAGGCGTCAAAGCCAAACAGATGCACGGTTGCAATATATGAAACTGCTGAGCTGCCGCCATGAGACTGTGTTTCGCGAATCGGATGGGGTGCAGCATCGCAAGTCTTGGCTGTACCATACCTCGCTAACGGAAGGATGGCCGGATTCAGCAAAGAGCAAACGTTGGGCTCCGGCTGCCCGCTACACCCGTACCGTGGATCGCCGGGAAGCTTGCCTGAGCTTGGCGAAAGCATCGTGACTCCCTTACTTCTGCATCAGGAGCTCAGGCACGTGCTAATCGGAGCACTGCAGGCCACCGCCTCGCCTCGCAACGACTGAAGCCAGACAGAGTACCCAATGAACGGCTCAGTCGAAGGTGTCATCTACTACTCTGCAATACGCAACGAAAGCCGCATTCCCACCTGCTGAATTCTGAAGGATCATGTGATTACACCCGTCACAGGAAGCTTTGCCAAGAAACCAGACGTCATTGTGCTGTGGCTTTGCTGCCTCGGGTTCTCATGCTAGTGACAGGCAAGCGGCCATCCTTCATCATCCGAAGATCGTAGTACCCTGGCCTCAGCATCACTGCGATCTGCCGCAATCAAGACTTATCACCGAATAAAACTTGAAGGACCGGCTTCGCAACCGTGATGGTCGGCTGCGTCTTAGCTGCGTGACCTTCAAACCCACATGCACGTAACACAAACAGGCATAGACACATGCACACACACTCTCACTCACTCACTCGCTCATGCACATCGCACAACTTGTTGCCCAATTCCGGCCTATCGTTTTGCTTGGGACCTTGCCAATCCAGCACCTTTCGCTAGCCAAAAAACAAACAAGAAGGAAGGTAACAAATCGACACGAAAGATCAATCTCTGCACATCATCGACACGAGCCCCCGACTGTGATTGACCTTAACTGTCACCAGAGATGCAACTAGAGAAGACACACCGATTCAGGAGCTTCCGTGCGAATCAAACGTGGGACCTACGGGAGGTCGATATGAGCATTGATCAATATACCTTCATATGGATTCGGTTCCTTTGGGAATATGCGTTTCCATTCGCGGTACTTTTGACCTGTCCTTCGCAGGACATGTAAGTAGCCAAAGTGGTGGCAGTAGCAAAAGTAGTACCAGTAGTAGTAGCAGTAGTAGTGGCAGTAGTTTTAGCCGAAGTGGTGGTGGTGGTGGTGGTGGTGGTGGTGGTGGCGGGGGTGGTGGTGGTGGTGGTGGTGGTGGTGGTGCCCTATACATTTTTGCTTGATCGTGGAACGAACTGTTTCTTGTCATTGCTTGGGCTGGGGGCTGTGGGGAGGGGGGCGTGGTGTGGGTTGTAACGTCATGTTCTAGTGCATGGGGTCTACATGTTATGCTGGCCTAATACAGGTCTTTCCTCCTGCGTTTTTGCTGCAACCTGCCAAAAATAACCATGCTGACGATGATGATGTTGACGATGACGAATGGTGGCGATGTTGTTGTTAACTTCTGACAATCGTGATCATGACGATGATGGTGATGTTGCTGGTATTGATGCTGATGTTGATGCTGGCTGGCGGCGATGGATGATGATGATGATGGTGATGATGATGATGATACTCACGATGGTGATGATGATGATGATGATGGCGGCTGCTGGCGACGATGGTGATGTCGATGATGATGCTGGTGTTGATGCTGGTGTTGATGCTGATGTGGCAAGTGTGCGATGCTGTTTGAGGGTGCAAGGGTATGCTTGGTGATGACTGGTGGCCATGGATAATGAGGATGATGATGATATTAATGATAATGACTATGATGATGATGATATCAATGATGGTAATGATGACGACTGCTGGTGGTGATGATGGTGATGCTGATGATGAAATTAGTATTGGTGCTGATGTTGATGTTGAAATGACGAGCGTGCGATGATGGTTGAGGGTGGCTGAGTGTGCTTGATGATGACTGGCGGCAACTGTTGATGATGATGATGATGATGACCTACTCTGCTATATGCTATACTGTCTACCGCTGCATACTATACTGTATACCATACTCTATACTGTGAAGTACTGGGGCAGGCAGGGTTTCGACATGGCCATCTTCCAAAGCTTGCTCAGGGCCATTGTGGAGAAGTACTAGGATCTCCGACGCGCACTTCAGCTCAACAGAGTCCGGTGAGCACTTGAAACAAAGAGTCCATCTCCAGAGTTGTGCAAACATGTGCTTGTCCGAGCATGCATCCTGCAAGGCTCGCCTGCAAGTCTCCCCAATACAGCGAGGAAGCAACCCCTAAACTAAACTAGGAACTGGTTTAGGGGCCTTTCTACCACTGCCTTGCTACTGTATCTACTGTAAACGAATACTTCGAACAGTCTCCATCAACCATCACCTTGTTCAATCATCCAGCGAAATTACTCGAGATTTCCGCCCCTCACACGTCTGCAACATGCGAGAGTCAACACTCACGAAGTGCTGTACAAGGCAGTACGCAAGCTGCTTCCGGCAAAAACATCTAAACAAACAATCACTGCGATCGATTAGCTATGCGACGCCTAGCAGCAGCAGTAGTAGCAGTAGGGGTGGGAGTAGGAGTGGCGGCAGCAGAAGCAGCAGCAGTTGTCGTCGTGGTGGTGGTAGTAGTGGTAATGCTAGTCGTGGTGGCGGTTGTGGTTGCAGTGTGGTGTAGGGTGTGGAGTCGAGGCGAGAGGTTTGAGGGTCCGCGGGGTTTGGGGTTGTTGTTTGACGGTGTGGTGGGGTTCGGGTTCATTTATTCGGCCGAGGTCGCAAATAGCAACTCCAAACAGTGGGCCATGAGGTTGAAAGTGTTGGTCCGTCATTCGCAACGACTATTGCGGATCTTTCGCTCTGAATTGCATTTGGCCTAAGCGTCTGCGGAACGACGGCCTACGATGGGATTCTCCCTAAATGCGTTAGATGCCCCAAGTCTGCCACGAAAACCTTTCGTGGAATGTTGCGTTGCTCTCTTGCACCCATCACGAAAATTTCGCGGACGCATTTGCACGGACCTGTAGAGGAAGCTTGCATGGATCAGAGGCCGGTCGGATGTCTCTGGCATGGCACATTTGCATAGCAGAGAAGACGTACAGACAAGTACAAGCTGCAGAGAGCCTTGGGCACCAGCATATGGGAAACTGGCCTTGCCCGGCCGGGCGGCAGCCCTGGATGTCCGCACCTGGAAAGCACCAGATCCAAGGCCCTTTTGCATTTACTTCGCAGCTCCCGGCAGTAGTAGCCCCCGGTCTCTCCGGTCACCCACTCTTGCGGGCCTGAAGTGTCAAGACCCACAAAACCAACACAGCTTCCCCAATGGATGGCTTCCTGGGCTGCGGGCAAGGCGTGGCAGCGCCTGGCAAATGCATGAGGCTGCTTCGGCGCCATGCGGAAGGCTTTCAGATCTCAAAAGGAGCGAACAACACCCCGCAAGTCTGTCGGGCTGACATTCTCCCGGCTGCAAACCTCCTGCGTACAATCGCCGATGCGCTGACGACATCCGTGTCTTGCTTCCGTGCCTCTGAAGAAACAGAGAAGAATGACGAGGTAGATAACAAGCACCTTGGGAGGCGCAGCGCACGTGAGCCTGTTGAAGAGTCCAATTGTCCTGGCGAAAAAATTGGGAATCCATCTGAGGGTTTCCGAAAATAGGGGACCCTAATATAGCACCCTAAATAGTAGTAGGATGCTTATTATAAGGACCCCAAAATAAGGTACCCCCCTTTATTTCGGAATCCATCTGAGAGCATCGCAGCACCGAGGCCCAGAGCGAGTCGCCAGAGAAAGACTGGTTCGACGTTGAAGTGCTCACCTTGGGATTTCGCACCCCATCTCCCAGAAACGAAAACCTCCAATGAAGCAGGAATCCCACTTTCTCACAAGGAGAGACAAGCAGCTGATCACGCGGACAGGCAGTGGTATCCGCTCGTCATCCGAAGCTGCAGACACCTTCTGAAACACACTGCACAAGTCAGACCGTGCGACGGACATCTCCGGAGCATAATCAGCCCAAAACGGACACATCGTCAGCTTCACTCCTGTTAAGAGGGCTGCTGGCAAGTTCCAGACAGAACTGGATGAGTCGGGTCACGGTCTCCTTGTGCTGCCGCGCAAGCTCCTTTGGCTCCCATCCGATGCCAATTGAACGCTGTGGCGTGGCTCGCGCGGAACTTGGAGTCGTGTGGGTCGGCCTGTTTCGGCATCTCCTGCCGTTCCAGCAATGCGGAGACTGAGGCTGTAAGTTCGGAAGCTGTCTAAGCAACACACCGGATGAGTCCATGCCGCAAGGCGAATGCAAAGACTTTCGACAATGATTTTGGTCCGAATATGTCATCCCATGCTCTACCTTCACTGCTCGATTGGAGTTGAAATTCGTGTGCACCTATGTGCCGCATCCTCTCTGGCTGAGCACGGGAGTTGACATGCACGTCGCAGGGCTCGAGGACCCGTGGTGAAGCACATGGTTTCGTGCTGCAGCGATCTTTTTCCATGTGCATTCGAGTCTCCAGGCTTTCGAGCTTTGGATGCCTTTCTATGCACACATGTGAAATGCACAAGCCCCGCTCGATGCTACTCACTGGTACCACGGCCTTTTGTGCCTGGCAGAGGACTTGCACATACATGCATACATACATACCTACATACATACAGACAGACATACAGACAGACAGACAGACAGACAGACAGACCGACAGACATACACACAAACACACACAGACAGAGACACACACGCGCAAACACCCGCACACACACACACACAAACACACGGTGCGTGCAAATCATGCAAACATCGTCCGCCCTCTCACCGCACTGCGGCAGGATGCATGTCCGGAAGTGCTTCAGACAGCAGGGCTAGTGGCAAACATGATAGAACAAAAGATAACCGTACCGGCAAAGACCAAAACACTACTACTGTTCTCATGATGTTTTGACAGCTCGACATCGACAGTGCGGGCCCGCAAAGAACCTCTACACAGTGGAGACATCTGTCCACGTGTTTGTGCTTCCCGTGCGCTTATTCTACCGCTCAGCCGGGTAGGTCAAGTAGGTCAAGACACGCGCATGGGCATTTCCGGGTTGCGATTGAGGCGCTTCGAAACAGCTGGCTCCTGAACTATGGGCAACTATGGATGGCTCCACTGCCACCTGTCTGCGCGTGCTGCGGCAGCTTGAACCGTGCTCATTGACTCAGTTCGCAAAGCTCTACCCTTGGCCTTTCATACCCTTGCAGGACAGGTTCTCATAGCTGGCAACTGCCTTGCGACCTGCCCTTCTTCTGTGGCCTGCGTCTTGGGAAGCTTCACGTGCCTTTTCACCTCTGCCCGCTCTGGTTTCAGAACCTGACAAGCACTTGGAGGATCATGGAACTTAGTAAGTAAGGTTATAGGTAGCTTAACTCGAGCTATAACTAATTAGAGATACACTTACCTTATTTATCACGCTAGTTAGGCCCTAGTTACTAAGTCCCATGATTCTGCAAGCATGTCTTGCGGATCCATTGCGGCTTAGCTGGCCAGCCTGCTCTTGGAAAACGACGGGCCCCTGCCTCCAGACCTCGTCTGGGCTCTTGTTAAGGAACTTTTGTTTAAGTTGTCGCTCGAGGGATCTATAGCAAGTATTGTGCTTTTCCCTGCTGGCTTCAACTGAATTCCCTAAGAATAACCCAGTTTTGCTTGAAGGCACTAGGCTGTGCCTTGAACTGACACAAATAAGGGCCGAACGGCCAAACTCCATGACGGTGCCGACACCATGGGTCCTGCAAACGCGTCGGAAAGACATTATAATGGCTTATGATAACATGCTACAGTACTACAATAATATCCAACAACATCCAGATGATCCGTCTGGCATCTCCTAGGAGTCGGATCTTTGTACAAGAACCGGCCGATCCCTTCTTCTCTGCCTTGGTCGGGGGTTTCGACGCTCACACTCGGACAATCCAGGCGAGGCACGTGGTCCCAGGTCGGCCGATGGTGTGAAACCGAATCCCTCTCTCATGGCAGAGATCTAACCTGGTTTTTTTCCCAAAAGGGTTTAGGGTTTAGCGGGTTTCATGGCACACAGCAGCCCCTAGATTCGGTGAGTAGGAACCTGATTAAAAAAAGCTTGGTCCTATAGAAAATGTTTGGGCTCATATGAAGAAAGACCCAGGGTTTCTTAATCAAATTCCTGCATTGACTAAGGAGTGTGCCCCCAGAACCTTCTGTGAAGAGGCGGAAGTGCTCCAGAAATCGCATGTACGTGAACCTCAGCTAAGCCACAAGCCGTCCCCGCGTTTTCGTTGGGTGGTGACTCTCAACCTGGCACCCTGCCGCGTTTGCGACTTCCAGGATTTGTTCTCTTCCATACACGCCAGATCTGAGCGACAGTCGGACCGCCACATCTACGGAAGCTGCAAGATGGTTGCTCAGCATACTGCATTTGCCGGCTTCTGTGCGACACTTCTTCTGGTAGCTGTCTGGGCAACGCCTTCAAGCGAAGCTCGCAACGAAGTCTGCCCCGGTCTGAGACCGGTTGACGCAGCCGATGTAGTAGGCTTGCGGCCGCACACATTCCAGGAATGAGTCGTAGGCCTGCACAGAACATTGACCTTTGCCACCCAAAGCCGGATTGCAATTACAAACGTTGGCTTACACCGAGCCTTAGAACAAGGGTGATCCCTGGTCTGGATGCCACCCCTGAGCGGAACGGGACGAGCGACGAATTGAATGACTGAACTTCGTGAGAACTGCAATGCAAACTCTACACGAGCCGCCGTTGCCGGCACGAGCTACTAAGGCGCAGACTCCTTCTTGGAGATGCGCTTGGCCTTGCGAGAGCCACTTCCGTCACTCAAAATGGACTACACCACAGAGGACAAGTCGCTCCGGCATCGCACTGCGATTTTTCGCGGGCGTTACGGCTGCATCATGCGCATTTGTACAGCGCCCGCATCATTTGAGCTTCGATCGCTCCTCAAGCACTCGTGACACGTGGAGGAGTGCTTGTCAGTCTTCTGGCATGCTGCGGAAACGAATCCGAATGAAACAAATTCGCGAAGCTTCCGGGTGAAAGCCATCTGTGGCCCTGCAACCGTTTTCTTACCCGGCCTTGCAAAAACTCTAGATCTTCGTAAGCAAGAACAGACTGACACAGGAACATCCCCTGAGCCGGCTCTCACAACGAAGAAAACCTACATTGACCCCAAGTCCTAGCCCTAAACCCTTTTCCAGCACGGGCTTAGATTGTGTGTGCCAGGGAACACTCCTCAACAACAGGGAAACCCTCAACCCTAATCCTTAAACCCAAAACCCTATGTGTCCTCCTACCCCTATGAACCCTCAACCCTTAACCCGCAACCATAGACCTTAAAACCCAAAAACCCGATATTTTCATGACCTGCCAGCCAAGTTTCAAGGACAAGTCGACCCAGGAGCTTTGCCGGGAAGCCCGGAAGCTGCCTTTTGTCAACGCAAAGGGGATGCGCCCAGGGGACTCGGAATTTTTGTGTTGCGCTACACGGTGTAACCGTATAGCAGAAGGTGCTATAGTACCGTATAGCATACATGGTATAGTCTAGTATAGTATTGTATTTTTGGTATGCTATAGTCCAGCACGGTATAGCATAGAAAAGTGTAGCATAGTGTAGCAAAGTATATTGTAGCATAGAATGGGATAGGATAGGACAGTATGGCATGGCAAAGCATGGTAAAGTATGGTATAGTATGGGATCAGCACGGTACAGTACAGCATAGTCTAGTGCTCTCCTCTGAGGGCTTCAGGGGACTCCAAAGATCCCAAGGCCTGCGTGCGCCCATCGCGCAGTGGAGGCGCAGCGCATGGCGCAGCGCGCCGGCAAGCTCCTGCAGGGTTTTTGGGCTCTCACACCCAGACTCCAAAAATCCTTGATTAAGGAATATACCTTTAAATCTCATTATGGTTCCTATCATAATTTAAAGTGTATATTCCGTTTGTTAAAGGATATTGGAGTCTCTAGGCAACTCGGACTGGCCAGGCGAGGGCTCGTGGGTACTGGTCGGCGTGAAACAAGACGGCTTGCTGCAGGGTTTAGGCTTTGGACTAGGCAAATGTGGCCCCAAATCAGCTAACTCACGATGGGTTGAGGGATTCTAGGGTTTGTGCCAGCAGGTGGCATGCTAACAAACAAGCAGCTGGCATGCAGGACCGGGTCCAGATGTGGTGGAATGTCCGTGAAGCCAGGGCAAGCAGAACTTCGCGATTTCGGGGACCCTGAACCCGACAAGTGTTGCATTTTGGCAGTCTCTCTACACCGATGCAAGTTCATCTGAATCCAACCTCTGCCTCTGGATGCGGCAGTGAGATTGGCAGACCCAATTCGTTCTGGAGCTCCACCTCGGAACGGAATTCCAGCACCTCCAGCCAGGAAGCAATGAAACCCTTGTTGCTTAGCTTTCGTTCCGGACATGTGCCACACAGCTACTGGAGCCTGCAGGACAGGCCTATACGCAGAGGGACCCCAATGGTGGAGAGGTGCAGAGACGAAGCTGACACAGAGCGAGGGCGAAAGTAGTGGGAACAAAAGACAAGGGGAGAAGCCTGCGCTGGCACAGCTAACGTTGCCACAAAGGGAGGCGCCTCCACGGAGAGCGACTGCAATTGCGCCATGAGGCGTATGACAGCAAACCTGCAACGGAGTCGAGGTTGACTGCTGCTCAGCATTGCGGACACCCTACTCCGTATTTTTCAACGTTTCCCAACCACCGCTGACAACCACGTTTTTCAGGAATCAGCAGCACATGGAAATAAAAAACACCATCTTCTTTAGAAGCGGGACAAGCAGGAATCCATCTTAAACCCCCAACTTCATACACTTCTCACCGGCTTCCTCTTGTTAACACCCTGGGACAGGAATCCCAGCGGCCCAGAGAGCCCCGAGGTCTCTTGTGCAAGGCTATACAGGCCTTTCGATGCGGGAGCTGGGAGAACAGGCCAGAACCTCCATGGCGTCGCTCCGCGAGTTGAGCATGAAGCTGGTGAAGTTCGTCTTCTTGCAAGAGAGGACGAGATCCCAGCATCTTGGTGGCCCCTGCTTCAGCTCGAAATACAGCTCTTGGTCACCGCCGCTGACGATGACTTGCTCCCCGCAGGCTCGCTCAATGTTTGCCAAGCCTGACTGCGTGAGCAGGGCCGTAACTGCCTGTACGAGCTGGTTGGCACCCCTTCGTGCCATGTGCCCGGCATCGGACTCCGTCAGATGACGCCGGACATCCGCAGCCACCTTGGAGGAGAAGACTTCTTTGAGGTTTTCGACCTCCAGGCTTTGCTTCTCGACATCCAGTCCGGACTCCGCCAACGCGACCTCGAAGTCGTAGCGGGTGCCTTGAACCACATAGACTCCACGCCTCCATCTGTCTATTCAACTTAGGCCACACCGGTGATATATATATATATATATTTATTTATTTATTTATATTTATATTTATATTTATATTTATATTTATTTATTTATTTATCAGTACATGACTCTTTGCCGTGATTGCGGTAACGTAAACTAGAACCCGCAAGAAGATCCCTCCCAGCTTTCTCATCCTCACTGCCAGGGCACGTGACATCCATCAGGAATTGCACGCAGACGTCGCAAAGCGGCTCTGGCAAGTAGGAGTCCTCGCTGCACCTCTGGTGCGCAGGCAGGATCAAGTCGGCAACATCGACCTCAGGTATTTGAGGCTTCAAAGTAGGGGGAAGGCTTTGGGGATATGCATGGGGATTTGTTTTGTTGTAGCTTAGAGGGTTTGGGCCATTTCGGGGTGTAGGGCCTGTAGGCTTTACCGTTTGGGGTCTCTGAAGCCCTAAACCCTACTAGTAACCCCCAGACCCTACTACTGGTAGTAACCCCAAACCCCAAACCCTAATCCCTGAACTCCAAACCCACATGCCCCGCCTCAAGGAAATGTTGCAATGCTGCGAGGCGCCGAAGTTCGCAAACATCCGGGGCTTCATCTGCCTGGTTCGCTTCTTGAAACTGGACCGTAATCAGTAAAAAAACACAACATTGTTAGAAAACTACTATTAAACTGTCATTATGTATTATTTTGTTTAGTGCTCAGCATCCTCAAAATAGTCATAACAATCATCAAGCTCGTGCAAAAGGTTGGTAGTCGTCGTCGTAGTAGTGGCAAGATTAGTTTCACAGTCCAAAGAGACGGCGAGGAACGGAAAGCCATGGGAGGAGTGCAAATGAGCTGATCACAGGCTACTTTTTGCCGCCGCCCTCGCGAGCTCGAAAGGTTAGGACCACATGACGAAATTGAAAACAAACAAGTTGAATGTCTGGCTTCCGGCAGCAAACTAGGCAGCCAAGTCTAAAGTGAGCCAGTAAGGTCTCATATTCACCTCTTTTTGGCGCAAAAAGGACTGGCACCAAAGCCTTCCCAGCAGCTCGGGGCACGCAAAGCATTTGTGGTGTCGTTTGCTCGTTATTGGGCCTGCAAGAACCATGCCTGACCGTCGTGGCATGCGCATGCGGCCGCAGACTGTGCATGTATGACTTGAACTGATTACAAGACGTCTTCATTTTCAAACCGTGTCGACAGGCGTTGCACGCATCCACACGTCGCAAACTCATCGTCACAGCCCCGTGCCACGCCGTGGGGGGAGCTTGTAACTTCACGCAGCAGAGCCGTGAAGCCATAGATCCCAAGCAGCAGTTCCTAGACAAAAGCCCTTGAAGAGATGTGAGTGAGCGCAGTCTGCAAAGAGGAATCCGACAACCGACGCATTCTCACGACAAGAACACCCCCAATGCCCTATGCCGTACCAATCACCCCCCTTCAGCCCATGCCAAGCCTGCATCCTTTCCAAAGCCCTCTCCAGGAAGCTGCGAGACAACTTCTCCCATCGATCCCGGTGGGTCGGATCCAAGTAGAGGGCCTCCCGGTTGGCCTTGGCGCCTGTCGCCTGCCATTTGAACACAACGGATATAGTTCCACAGATAACTAACATCAGACTACGCTCTGGAAACTCTTATATACTAGGATGCATGGGGTAGAGATGGGGTAATATAGGTTATTAACACATACAACTACTTCCAGCTCCACTGCCTGAATGCCCAGGGCTGCTCGCTGCCTCTGCTTTTCCGAGGCCTCCCGGACCAAGCCTTTCCGCAATCCCTAAACCCTAAGCCCGCTTTTGCGGCTGGGCTCTGACTATCCTAAACCCCCCAAACCCTATACCCCAAAGCCTAAATCGCAATCTCCGAGGGCCAGGGGTGGGCTTAGGGCTTAGGCTTAGGGCTCCTAGGCCGCCTTGGAAGAGCTGCTGCACTGCTCTGTCGAGGAGCTTGGATCCTTTAGGGGGCAGATGTGTGTATGTACATTGTGCGTATATGTATATGTGTATGCATGTGTGTCTGTATGTATATATACACGTGTGTGTATGAACGTATGTATGTATGTATGTATGTATGTATGTATGTATGTATGTATGTATGTATACAGGAACACGACGGCATGCTATTGGTGTATAAAGGATTCATAGCGAATACCAGCAATGCCGTACCCAAAGC